GTCTCTGTCCTCTTGCCGCGTGACGGTCTCCTGTCGGATAGCCCTACCAGCCAAGTCAATTTATATAAAGTTATCCTCCTTGTTTTTTTTTGAATGTGGTTTTTGTCATTCTTCCTCTAACTGTTCTTCGTTCTCAACATACCTTCTCATTAAAAAAAACAATTGAAAAGAGAAACAGGAAGAGAAAGAAGGACCATCGGTAAGAAATGGCAGACATAGTAGTGATTTCGCTACAGTTGGCTCAGGTTTACCTGTCTGAAAGTTCTCCCATGGCTTCTTATCACAAATGGTCATCCTCATTTTCATCTAGGATGAGCTGGTAGTTACTTAAAGACACGTCCGGAACGAGAAGCTCTCACCTGTTCCATCCCCAACTGTAGTAGGCAGGTGGACAAGCGTTGATGTCGCGCCCCTTTTGCGGCTTGAAAGTGCGCGACAAAGGCGCAGAAGCTCGCTCGACCCGCAATCCACACCTTCGTCCGCAAGCCCCGCCTTCCGCTGTCGGTTGCCACGTGACGCTGCTTGAAAAGCGCGGGCGCATTGAGGCAGCGGTCCCATTGCGGTTCAATGTCATTGGCACTGGAGCAGTGGAGCTTGGTTCGTGAAACTCGTCCAACACGCTCCTTCTCTACCCAATGGGGCTGAAACAGAGGGGATCTTTGTTGGCGTGCGCGGGGGCATGCGCGGGGTTTTGCTTTCTTTTCCTTTTCCGGATCACCCTCCACCTCCAGCTTCATAACTGAACGCTCTCACGCACACATTTCATCCTGGGCTTGCTTTTAACCATCAAACAGTACCCGGTGGATGAGCTTTGGAAGTTTCAATGTTTGAGTAAAAGACTACTTTTCAGTGTACTACTCTGGTCACGGAGCTTACCTAACGTCACATTCTACGAGGAAGACACTAGAGCAAAATTCAGCAGTAGCATGGACCATTGCATGCCTTTGGTATGTGCTGTTGCAGGAGTTGAATTTGATAGAGGGCACTATTGTAGAGACTCTAGAGCTTCAGGTCAACTGATTCCCTTTTAGCATGATTGTGGGAGGCGGAATATTGGCAGCAATCTTCTCATGGAACACCGATGCAGTCATACCTCTGGCTGTGATGTCGAATGTTACCGAAAGCTTGCCAAAACATGGCGCTGCCTATCGTCAATTCTCCGACCTCGAAATACGTATGATGTACGGTGCATTCGCCGCCGTAACACTCTGCGCTAATCTCATTTTCGCTTTGACGCCATCACGTGAAATTGAGGGTTGCATCGAAGGAAAACATACGAGGGCCAAGAGTACTTTCCGCGAGGAAATGAGTAAGTGTTCAGGTGGAATGTAAAGGACCTATGATTTCAAGGATTTCCATTCAGATCTGATCCGGAAGATTTTCGTCGACAAGAGGATGATCACTTTGTCGCCTCTTTTCATCCACCTAGGACTTTACACGCCTTTTTGGGTGTCCGTCTATCCAACGTCATTGGTATTCACCAAATCGCTCTCCGCTCATGTTTATCTACCAGCTTTCTACAGCTTGGCTGTTGGAGTGGGAGAGGTTGTCAGTAAGTGAATTTCAGTAATATACAATTCAACATTTGGGAAACAACGTGAGTGTGTGCTCTTTGTATCCGAGTCAGGTGCGTGTCCACTGCAGACTTCACAACAGAAGTGACGACAGCCTCCACAAAAGCTGGTAGTTTTCTGCCAACGGAATGATTAGCTGGTTGCAGTTGCTATTAATTAAAACTAATTACAACACCATCTTATCAACTGTGAGCTATCACAATAAACTATTAGGGGGCTAACTTAGTTGGGGGGACCACGCGGTGGTGCGGCACTCTGTTCGTCTGCTCCTCCAAGGCTAGTCCCTGCGCCCGCGTTTTTCCGGATATAACTTACCGCCATGACGATAATAGTAATCGCCCTGGGACTGAAGCCTTGGGAGCAGATGAACAGGTGCCGTCGCCCGCCGTGTGGTCCTCCGCCAACTAACCAAGTTAGCCCCCTACTAGTAGTTTCTGCTTGCTTGGAAAGCGTCGTCACTCGTGATGTTGTCGGCTTCTGCAGTGCGATTCTTGGCCGCCATATACAAGGCTATTTACTAGTGGTCACCGTTGTGGACATATCAATAGAAACTTTCCAGAAAACCAAAAAAAGATGACATCAAAGGAATTAGCTCTATTCAGTTTCTGCAGGGAATTGAGGGAGTTAACCGATTATTTTGAAGTTTTGCAGGGCATTCTAATTACTATTTCAGTGGTGGTAGTAATAATCAGCACAATGTCGAAGGCGAATTAAAGATTTCGGACTCGAACCCACAATGTTCATGGCGTTCGGACTCACTACTGGTATTACGATGATAATTCTGGCTTCAGTGCCGAAATGGGCAACAGTTCGGCTCACAGACGATCCTGCATGGATTATTCAGCCAAAGTATGCTCACTACGGCTGAAGAACTAATTTATTCAACATGAACGTAATCAAACTCAAATGTCAATGCTTGAATTCCAGTGTAATTTTGTCAGTGATGATCGCCTTCGTTCTTGGAATGGCGGACTCGTGCGTGAATAATCTCAGGAATGTGATTTGTGCCTTGGCTCTGCCCGATAAGCGGGCACAAGCCTTTGCTATTTCGAAGTTCTATCAGGTGAGTTGTGGGGTTCAAAACCGGTGGGTACGGGACAGGAGCCTTGTCGTCTCATCCGAATGCGTTCCTCTGCCTCTCGTCGCGCGCAGGGCCGCTTTGTCCTTTTTGAAATTGTTACGATACAAGGAGTTAGCTGCCTGTGTGCGCATTCCAACGTGATCTTAAGTCGTGACCCCAAAAATTAAAACCCAAAAATAAACTTTATTAACTCGTTTTCTGCGCAACTACTTGACTAACCCTAATTGATGCCCAGCAGAGTCAACCCTGCGTTGCGCAGTTCTCAACGGCCACGTTGCGCAGTTTCGCCCGATTAGACACGTTCTCTCGCGCGAACATTCACACTCGCATGCTCGAGCCGTCTGCGTCTCCGCCCATACAGCGTGCGTTGAGGATCTCTCAACGTGCCGTTGCGAACTGCGCAACGCAGGGTTGACTCTGTATAACAGGTAGAAGGTCATCAAGGTCCGATTTGCGCGGTAACTCAATTGGTTTTGCGCATCATTTTAAAGCACGGAACAGCTACCGCCCTGAATAAAGTTGTTGTGTGAGAGAGCTCAATATTGGTAGGAAGTGAAAGGGAGAAAAGAAGCCAAGGAATCCATCGAGAACGCCCGCGTCACGGGCACTGATTTCTGTGTCGGCTGTGGTAGAACGTTAAGAAGTAGCGCGTGGAGAAGCGAGAATATGCGAAAGAGAGTTTGTTGTTTGAAAGGGCACAGACGCACGGCTTGAGAGCGACAGGCTACCGCTCGTGCATTCAGTTGGAAGTATAGTAAGCTCTAGCTCCCTCGTTCATCCTTGAGCTCTGTGAAAAGCGCAGCGATCCTTTACAAACAACTTTTCCTTGCCCACTGGACGGATCAATCCTGTAGTCCATTCCCGGGGTGTGCCTTTCGTTGTTGGAATTCTAGAGAAAAATTGAAAAGCTCCTGCCACAGCTTTGGGTTTGTTTTTCTCCTCTAAGCTATAAGACTTGCATTTCAGGCATTAGGCTGGTGCCATCTTGATGTTCTGCAGTCCCTACCTGTCGAATTCCGCACTATACTGTAATCTTATTCTGTACAGTATCTCCTATCAACGATATGCTTTGTACGCACAACTGGCAAGATGAGAAGAGGAGAATCCAGAGCGATCAAAATCCATCCTTTAGACGACAGTTCAGGAGAGAAATTCTGACAATAAATGTCTCATTTAATGATGTACGATGATTCAGTTCGATTAGGTTCAGTACTCATTTATTCTCCAAAAGGGTTTAAAAAATTAGTAGGCTTAGAGACAAAACTCGCGATCAGATCGATGTTCAAAGAGAAAGGTGGGTAAAGGAGAATTCTAATAAATGTTGCGTGGCGGCAGATAGCGCCCCAGCAACAGAGTGGCAGAGCGAAAAAAGAAGCTCGAGGGACCCAATCAGGGTCAACCGTTACGTTGGACCGATATTGGAGCGACGTTGGACCGATGTTGACCGCTCTCCGCGCCGGCATTCACTCTCGCCACCCGCGAGCCGTCTGTGTCTCCGTGCGTACGTTCACTCTCGGCATTACTCTCACACGTCGAGAGCCATGCGTTGGACTTTGTCCAACGGACGGTTGACCCTGGCCCAATCCTATCGTTCTTCGTACGTGTGGCGTGCTTTCCACCACAGAAGTGCCTTCCGGCACAGAAGCGCCTCTGAAGCCGCCTCGGAATTTTTACTAATTTTAGCTTTTGCTTCCGCGTACGGATGATCTTTTCAGCAGAGCGAGTACCTGTTCTTATAATGATAATTAAAAAAATAACTACTAATAGTATTACAATAATTATATACAAAAATTATATTATAATACAAATGACAGTTGCAGCACCGGCAACCG